CCTCTCCCTCTCTCTCTCTCTCTCTCTCTCTCTCATCAAATTAAAATAAATGAATGAATAAATAAAATTAAATAAAAAAATTATTTAAACAATATTTTTCAAAGTTATTTATTTTATTTTATTTATTATTATCATTAGTTTAATACATTTTTTCTATATGGCACGTGTGCTCACCAGAGACACAGAAAGAGAAAGAGAGAGAGAAAGAAAGTGAGAACGCAAACCACAAGGTTCAAGACTCAAACTTTGGTTGGCCACATGGGAGTCCAGTGCCTTAACCACAACACCACCTGCTGGTCCCTCTTATGCTTTCTCAGTGCTTTCTTCTATTTGTCCTCTCTAAGACCTCTGCTTTCCAGAAATTCTAACTAGTGCTTTAAAAGCCAAAAGAAAAACCATTTATTCTTGTTTGCTTTTCTTGGGCCTCCTAGAATGTGTTTATGGTAAAGTATATGCTTCTGATGAGTATTAACTGATCATGTGCTTAAGAGAGAAAGGAGTCAAAGAGTTGAAATAATATTTATCAGTTGGAGACACTTCCTCTATAGTGCATATGAAAGCAGGATTTCAACCAAGATAGTTTTTTAGCTTTTAAGGTTTATGGTGTAAAACAGTTTGAGCTTCAAAACATATATCACATTAGGGAACCAGCAGTTAGCGTAATGGCTATGTTGCTGGACTCCCACGTAGTCGACCGCGGTTCGTGTCCCGGACCCGGTGGCTTAAAACTCACGCCGGGCGCGTGTGCCTGCGTGCCCAAGATCCCGAGAGGAGAATGGAGGAGAAAGGATTGCGGCGTGACCATCCCCCCTGGGGGGTGATTTCTCGCTTTCTGTCTCTATGTCTCTCTTTGTCTGTCTGGCGAGCGCACGCGCCCTACAGTGAAAATCTCTCCAAAAACAAAAACAAACAAACAAACAAACAAACAAACAAAAACATAAATCACATTAAACCCCTTTGACTTCTAGGACTATTTACCTTGTTTTAGAATTCATTTCTTTGTCCTAAGCAAGCCTCAGAAAACATTTCCTTCTTAAATGTCAAGTGTTCGCTGACAGTTAAATTGGTTACCAGATAGTTTAACAAGGAAGCATACTAAACCCCTTCATTGACAAGCTACGTGGATAAGTCAACATTTAATTGCCATAACAAGATAGTGTATGAAAGGCCTTCAATTCACCTGTGCTTTTCTCCTTAATGCAGAGCCCTCTTTTGTCTCACCTCTATGTAGTAGAAGTGCATCCAAGAGTGTTACATCATATTTCCTAAACAGTGGTCACTTGCATGTTCTTGGGACATTTAGCAAGAGGCCAAACAAGTAGAGGAAAGAATGAGACTTGGGACAGAGATAGGCAGAAGGGAATATTAAGAAAGAACAAGACATAAAGTTACTTTGAGGGAATATGTTAAAATTAGAGCTTTGGGTGTAGGCAGATGATAGAGGCCTGAAATATTTTTTGGCACAAACAACTATATACCTGAAGAATGATGTATTTATATCTCAACTAATCTTAAACCTAAGACAATGTATAATCTCATTATCTAATGTTAGCATTTGACTACACATGAAAGCATGTTTGATGGTCTAAGGCCATTATGGCATTGCTAACAGAAATACCTAAAACTGGATAAATTTAAGAGAATAGAAGTTTGTTTGCAGAACTCACAATTCTAGTGGCTGCAAGTCCAAAGGTGTACGACTATAGTATGGTGAACAGAAACAGAGAATGATGTGCACAGAGACAGTGAGCTGTGAGCTCTTTCTCTTCTATAGTAACTGGCTCTCATAATAATGAACCCCTTCTCATGAGATATATCAGATTTATCTAATAGAACTTACTGAGTCTGGAGAGACATGATTAATTTTTTCAAAAGTGTTGCCTCCATGATGTAATCACCATAATCTAATCACTACCCACTAGGGACTACTACCGCCCAACACCAAATTCCAAACGTGAAACTTTGGGGAACAAACCATCATCCAAAACACAACACCAAGTAATACGTGTTATTAATAACAGTCATCTATTCATTAAACAAATTGTTGTTCCTTTTCAAAACCAGTGCTGTTTATTATATTTGCCATACATGTATTCTATGTGAGATTTTGTCTTAAATTTCAATGCTGCTTTTAATTTCTCTTCAGAAAGCCTTGACTTACTCTTTTAATATCATATGTCAAAGTATTACATTTCTTCCTACAGCTACACAATTACATTTATTATACCTTAACTAAAACAATATCTCTTCATTACTAGAATTCAACAATGTTTTGAACATTCTAATTATTGTTAAATTTTAATTTTCTGAAGATTCTCAAACTAAGTGGGTAAAAGAAAGACCAGAAAATAAAGTCTTGTCTTTCATGCAGTGTTTTGAATATTTTATCATTTGGTAGATGCATTCACATAGTACTTAATACTTCCAAGCATCTTGAAAATTATTTCTTTTCCCAGTTTTTAGCTGAATCTTAGTCACCTGTACAAGGGGCCTCTCCTACATTTCTATAGTGTCTTGTATCCCTTTATCTACTGCTAGTCCCTCAACTCTCTATTATCTTAATGACCTGATTAAAGCAGGCCCTCAAGGTGCTATCTCTAATCAAAGACCACATATGACAGATTTCATTGGGATTTGAAGGTTGTCCCAGGGACTCTGTTGACCAGTGTTGTTCTCACTCTTCCACAGAGAAGGACAAATAGGAGAGACAGACAATTACTGTGAGATCCAGCTCAATTTTTCTTTATCTACCTTAATACTTCTCACAGTTTAGTATTTTTTTTCTCATCAATATAAATAGAATCTCTTGTCTAAATTGGCCTTTTATGATAGATTCACTTGCCACACTTGGGAAATAGTAATGCATGTGATCTTCATCCTATTAATAGATTTTGAGAGGACAAGGGGGAAAAAAAGTCACTCTATTATGCTGATAATCATCTAAATAGCTCGTTTGTTTTTGCTATATTCAGCAGAGCAAAATGAGATAATAGGGAAAAAAATTCACTTGGGAAAAGTAAAAGGTCCAGGAGTTTATGACCTGTTTCTGGGGTTATCAATATAATTAATTTATTTTGTACAAGAAAAACAAGATTAGAATGAGAGTGGGCCATAGATGCAGAGATGAATAAGTGGAGAACAGACAGAAGTAAAGGAGTTCTTAGTGATGATAGAGCCTTGGCCATCATGATTATGCCGAAGACAGAGGATGGAAATTGTAGCTTAGATTCAGAGAGGGAAAATAATCATGGGTTCAGAGAGGGAGGACCAAGTGAGGAAAGTGGACTTGAGTGACAGACCAGAGCGAATAATGTACCAGACAGAGACAGCTTTCCTGGCTTGAGAACCAAGCATTATGGGAATTTGAATTTTTGCATTGCTTGGTTATGGTGGCAAGAACACTTTGAAATGACAATCACACAAACCAAAATGAATGAGATATATTAACATTGTCATTATTTTTAGGAGAGTGGGCGTTCCCTTTCTCTTCCTGGAAGATCACTTCCGCCCGCCATTTCTACAACATCTCCTTGGGCATACCAGCCTGCGTACAGTCACTTTAGCAAACCATCGGATGGGCTAGAGAGGGCAAACAAGAGACCCTCTCCGTGGGAAGCTGCAGCAAAGTCTCCTCTGGGTCTAGTGGATGATGCGTTCAGACCCAGAAACATTCAGGAATCCATCGTAGCAAATGTGGTCTCAGCAGCTCGGAGGAAGGTGTTTCCAGGACCCCCAGAGGATTGGAATGAGAGACTGTCTTATGTTCCTCAAACCCAGAGGGTCTACATGGGCTCATCTGGAAGGCGAGAATATAACGTCACATCCCTAGCGGATAATATGTCTGCTAACTCCCAGTATGGTTCACAGTTACCAGGTGCATATTATAGGCAAGCCTCCAGAAATGATTCTGAAATAATGTCCCTAGAAACCAGGTCTAATTATTCTCTTCCAGTAGGTGATTGCAACTATAACCCACACCCAAGAGGATGGAGCCGCCAAACATGAAAGTTACAAGAACTGATTATGTTCCTACTATGATTTTTGTAAAGATGTTTCTTCATAGGGTTTTTTATTTTCCTAATAGATTTAGATTCACTTTTGATACTAGCTTCATCTCATAGGTCATTTATCTGAGTTTGTAGATGTATGTATGTGCACACATAAATGTGAATCACTTCCTTATCTGCTGATGCATAGAGAATTTCTTTGAAGAAAAAATTCATTTTCAGCATTCATGTGCTGGCACTTAAATGTAATTTACAATCTTAATTTCATTAATTAGTCTATGCAACTAAACTCTACTTGATTAGAATGAAAGTAAATATTTTCTTCTATGTACCCGAGTCCAGGAAGGAATTAATAGAATGTGGTGTACTAATTGTCATTGGCTGTGATCACCAGGAATATAATATTGGAGATATTTTCAAAGGGAGCATGAGAGTGAGTAATAACTCTATAAAAGGATTTCCTTGGTTTTATATTAAGAATTTCTCTGAAACATTTGTCTTAAAATCTAGTAAAATTCAGATTTGGGGCAGGAAGGATTAAAACACAGCAGTTCTCAGAAAGAAAGGAATATATTAGTAAGATTATTATACATTTCAGAAAGACTTTCAAGGTAAATG